ACCTTCTTGTCACATTGTTTGTTAGCTTACTCTACATAAATTTGCTGCTGTACTTCCTACATTACAACATGGATTTCATCAAATCAACAGATGGGATTTTTCACAAGAAACTTCTTAGTGACTTACTGTGATTCCCATTCCTTGATCTAAATAATGTTTGCTGGTAGATCCTGCTCATCAAGGTTGCTTCAGACTCTTGAGATGGAAGGTGGGTGGCTTCAACTGGTCATTTTGGAGAGGGAAGTGAATTCTAACACAAATGATTTCAATCAGCTTCTGGGTTGCTGTTCGCTGACAGATGTACGAGGCCCTGATGTTTGAGAGCACAGGAAGCTAAGGGAGAAGTGTTGAGCTACTGTTGCACTGGTACACCAACTTTGTAACATCTTCATTAAGGATGTGGTCCAGGTTGCAATAGGATGGAGCTTGCTTGTTGCAGTTTATTGCCATCAGCATAGATGAACTCCTTTGATGTGGTTGTTGGCAGGTATTTGTTTATATGTTGAACAGAGTTGGGGTTAGTACTGTCCGCTGTTGTAGTCTATGAGCTAATTTTCTCCATGCAATTCTCTCTTGTCTAAGGTAGACGCTAAATCATCTGTCACAAAGGAATGTTTCAATGACTTTGCCAACCCAGATTGTAAGCACTCTGTGCTGCAGTGGAAATAGGTCACTGTATCACATAATATGTAGGCAGCTGTGATGTTCAGCAGCACTTTGCCGTCCTCAGGTGCATTCGGTAGCCATTTTCAAAGTAGGTGTGAGTATCAGAACATGATTATATGTGTTGTACTCCTTACGGAAATCAGCTTGGTCAATATAAAGGACGCCATCTCCTGTTGGAGATATGCATTGCAGGATAAGTTCAAAGAATTTGAAGTGCATAGAAAGCAATGGAATTGGTCAATAGGTGGTCCCCGCATGAAATTTTATCCAGGTTTTGGAAAGGAAATGATTCATGCCATTGATTCCACACAACTTTGGGAATGGGTTTCACCTGGTAATTTTTCTGTAGAACTGAGTCAGCAGGCATAAGCACAGGGGCCAAGTTGTTTCAAGAATTTTGGTGTGATGTTGTCATATCCTGCTGCTGTGGTACATTTTTGTCCAATTCTCTGATCTTGAAGTGATCAGGATTGCCATGCCCAGCCTGGAGCTGGTGTTGTTTTTAAGGTCCATTACATGTGAGTGTTTTGTTTTCTTTGCCAAAAGTATCCTCAATACATGGGATGGTTTGGGGTATCTGATTGGTAATTCAATACAGGTGATTTGGGGGCCATCAAAAGCAAAGAACTAGGTTCGATCACTTTCAATTGGAATTAATAAAATGCAGCCCTGCTGTTGTTTCCCCTTATCTGGTGCGATATGCAACATTGAGAAACTTATTTAGGAGGTCAGTTATATCTAGGTCAACAGGCGATTCACACTCCTACATGCAGGAACCATTCTAATGAGCAGTCACTATGACGTTGACCTGTTTTATTTCCAAAAATATTCTAGGCCTCCAATTATTACTTTAAGCTAACATGCTTCAAATTGTTCAACTTTTCTAATGAACCACATATTCACATACATATGACCATCTTGCTTTATTTCTCTTGCCTAATTTGAACAAATGTGCAAGTAGCACATTCCCTCACCCATCAAGACTCCCTAACACTAGTAATCTACTCAGTATGTTCAGACAGGTTAGGAATATATATTTCTGGTAGAATTAGAGTTCAAGAAAGACAAGATGGGAGTTGTCAAGTCTGTTCACACAGGAAGATAGTGTTAAAATCAGATGATCTAATGTGTGGTTAATCACAACGCAAGCTAGTGAGTCAGCCTTGCAAAGAGAAGGATCAGAAAATGTACAAGCCCTATTACCCAGATAACGAATGTCTGGTCGCTGCAGCTGTAAGAATATACAGTAGGTTATTTTACTATATTTATAAATCTTAGGGCTGTAATTTCCTGACTCTTGATTGCAGTCTTGGAGATAGGAAGATTGGAAAATAGGAGTGAGATGTGTCAGAGCAGCTCTCTGACACATTCCCACCAGTGGGGATCTTACAGACGAGAGGGCTACGAATCAATTCCACTGCCTCTATGTGGAGCTGGACAACCATTAAATCTGTGAAGATCCCAGCATGGGCAAATATGCATTCATGCTGGTATTTTTTGAACAAAAAAATTGGCACCTCAATAAAAACATTTTCAATTATAGAAAAAAAAAACAGAAAGTAATGTTTGTAAATATCATGGGTTTGGACTTTAATATCATAAAGAAGGATAGCTAGCAAGCATTGAAACGAGTGATTGTTTCTCCTAGAAAGCTGTTTGTTTACAAAAAGCAACGCTGTAAATTATCATCATTGATGGTCTCTCACAAACGAGGATGACTCTCTTCCACTCTCAGGATGAAGTCCGTAGGTGGCTGTACAGACTGATGTGGTTGCCGCAGACTCTGCCACACTTCAGGCAGAAGGTGGTCGTGGGAAGGGGTGGGTGAGGCATGAATGTGGCAGTGCATTCCTTACACTGTTGTTGCCTGGCTTCTGCTTTTTCTCAATGGCAAGTCTCGAGGTGCTCAAGACTTTCCCAATGTTCCCCTCCAATTTGGACTATCCGGGTCAGTGATTCCCAGGTGTTGTTGGGAATGCTGCACTTCACCAGTGAGGCCTTGAGGGGGTCCCTGAAGCATTTCCTCTGTCCACTGGGGCTCGTCTGCCATTTCGGAGCTGGGAGTAGAACGCCTGCTCGCATAGTCTCGTGTCAATCATGCAGACAACATGCCCAGCCCATCGCAGCCAATCAAGGGTGGTCAGTGCCTTGATGATGGGGATGTTAGCTTGGTCAAGAACAGTGGCATTAGTGCATCTGTCTTCCCAGCGGATTCACAGGATCTTACACAGGCAGTGTTAGTGGCACTGCTCCAGCACCTAGAGATGTCTGCTGTAGACAGTCCACATCTCAGAGCCATATAGGAGGGCGGGAACCACCACAAGCTCTGTAAACCATGAGCTTGGTGTCAGATATAATGTTGTCACCCTCGAACAGCCTTTTCCTCAGGCTGCGCTAGGACATTGGACACAGTGCTGGATCTCTTTATCAATAACTGCTTTGGTTGAAAGGTCACTCCCACACTATTGGAAGTGGCCAATGTTCTCGAAGACCTCTTCATGAACCTTGATGATTGGGGGTTCTCTCCACAATGCTGGGCCAGGTTGGTGGAGGACCTTTGTCTTGCAGATGTTTACGGTGAGACCCATGTTCTCATATGCCTCCATAAAGGCACTGACAATGATCTGGAGTTCATCCATTAGTGGGATAGCCATCTAACAATGACAAGTCAAAATATAGAAGGGAGATAGAGAGCTTGGTGATGCGGTGCAACGAACACAATCTGTCTCTCAATGTTGGCAAAACTAAAGAACTCATCAGCAACTTCAAACAGAAGGGAGGAGAACACACCACACCTCCCATCTACATCAACAGAACTGAGGTTGAGAGGATGAACAACATCAAGTTCCTCAGAGAGATGATAACTGATGACCTGCCATGGACTTCCCACATAAATGCAACAGTCAAGGTGGCATAACAACGTCTCTTCTTCCTCAGGCGGCTCAGGAAATTTAGCATGTTCGTAAGGTCCCTGACCAACTTCTACAGATACACCATTGAAAGCATACAGTCCGGGTGCATAACAGCCTGGTATGGTAACTGCTCTGCTCAGGAGCGTAAGAAACTACAAAATGTTGCATGCACAGCCCAGACCATCACGGAAGCCAACCTTCCATCCACGGACTCTATTTACACAGCTCGCTGCCACAGAAAGGCGGCCAACATTGTCAAAGACCCATCACACCCTGGTAATGACCTCCTACAACCCCTTCTGTCAGGCAGAAGATACAGAAGCCTGAACACACACACAAGCAAGTTCAGGAACAGCTTCTTTCCGGCTGTTTTCAGACTGTTGAATGGACTCTAGCCTCAAATAATGTAACTTGCAATGTAATCTATATGCCAGTAGGTCTTTTTGCTCTGTACATCCTTTGCTTGCTGTGATCTGCCTGTACCGCTCATAAACAAAGCTTTACACTGCATTTCGGTACATATGACAATAAAATCAATCAATAAAATTATCAATAACTTTATACTTAGAATCTAAACCAAGGAGTATCAGAGAATCATTTGTCCAGTTTTACATTCTCCATCAGGAAAATGGAATATTAACTACCATGTCCAACTCTTTCAATTGAATTGTTGAGATCCCAAAATACCATTAAGTTTCTCCCCTGGATGCTGATGAACCAGCATCCTCCATTGTAGGGATAAAAAAAAAATCCAAATGATAAAAAGCAAGGAAACATAAACTGATGTTCAGCAGTTATCTGCTAGTGCAGGGAACATTTGCATGAGACTATTCTAGTGTAACCTCAATGACTTTATATTGGGGGTCATTCTCAGGGAGGGTCACCGCACCCGAAACGTTCACTGACTTTTTTTCTTCACAGATTCTGCTAGACCTGTTGAGTTTTTCCAGCAACTTCTGTTTTGGTTCCTGATCTACAGCATCCGCAGTTCATTCGGTTGTCATTTGGCTATTGTCTGGGGCAGATTGTTTTGGTTTGGCGCCTACAAACGTCACGGAATTTGCTTGCTGCGTGAGCAGCACATTTAGACGTTTCCTGATCACATGCTTCCCCTTAAGTCCACGAGTCAAGCTCTTGGAAGAACTCCTCTCTACCTCTAGCCTTGGATAGCTTTTCAAATGATGACCTCGGTGCGCCAGCCACCCCTTTTATACGGTGCGCTGCCAGTCGCCGGCTGATTGGCCGCTGTGCCGGCGTGGCCCCGCCCTCCTGTGCGCGAGGAGACGAGGCCGAGGGCGCATGGCGCAGGGAGATTAAAGAGGCCGCGTTGCTGCTGCTGTTCACAGACACAAATATATATTTATGTAGAGATATATATACTGTACACACACAGCCGCTCTCACATCGGGTACATTAAAAAAAATGGCTTCTCATAGCGACACTGAGGAGAAACGAGCCCCGATTCTGAGAGAGGACGATCGGGAGAGGCACGCGAGCAGTGAGAGCGGTCTCAGAGCCGGCCGCAAGGCGAAGCCATCGTCTCTCCTCCGAAACGCCTCGAAATCCAAACAACAAAATGGCGAACAAGCGAGCGGGCCGCTGGCAGGAAACGGCGGCCCTGGGCTGCTCCGAGCCGACACAGCTCCTGCTCCTCAACCATTCGCTGCAGAAAGCGAGGAGCACGGAGTTCAGAAAACCGCCGAAGATCATGTTCGGAAGAGTTTTCAGATACCCAAGAAGAACAAAGAAAAGAAAGGTGCTTTAATGTCTTAACACGCAGCGCTGTTTGCTTCTTGATGTTGGCCAGCAATTCACGTGCTCGTTGCTGGAAAGTGGCAGGGAACCTTTTTTTTTGACAGGGGACGTTAGCAAATAATAACATAAATATCCAATCTTTGTTTCTGCTTCTGACTCTTAGGACAGGTAAGTGGACCATAAGGCCAGCATGTGGTCAATGGCCAGAAATGTGGAAATCGATACTTATTGTGGTTACCTACCAGACCTTCATTGTAGCTCCAAACCTATGGGGCTCTCGCTTTTATGCGAGGTCTTCTGGAGAAACTGCTTACTCACACTTCACATTTCATCTTCATCCGCATTGATGCAGTGGAGATTCAGGGAATTATTGACCCTTTTCACTTGATTTTATTTGAAGGAACATGCATTACTTTGTCGTTAATCCGACCATATGGCTTGAGGTGCTTCATCCTGGCCTTATGTAAAGTTTTGGGCAAGGTGGAACATGCTAGAAACGTGATTGGTTTAAATATTCTTGAAATAGTTCCTTTTGGCATGCCCTAAATGCCATTGGAATTGGCTAAGTTTGGATGGGATAGTGCTCGTGGTTTCCTTTTGTAACTAATACGCGCCTTTGAAATGCAACTAAATTTAGGAAGTTAGCTTCAGTTCTTAAATATTAGTTTATTGCATACAGTTAGGAGGAGATGAAGTTCCTTAAAAATGCCTATGAACTACCTTATTACCAGTGGTGTACAGTTATTATACAATCACTGGACTCAAAGCTATAATAAAAATCTGTGCAGTTGACATAAGTTTCTTGAAGGAATTATGATTTCTTTCTGTTTCAGTATTCTTGAAATCATTGAATAAATGAGGCAGTTCAGTCCATTGTGCCAACACCACCCCTTCAAAAGAATTGTCCAGCCGCACTCTTACTGTTTTTTTTCCTCCCTCATTGCTCTACAAATGTTCCCTTTTCAAATATATATTTGGTTCCTTTTGAAAGACACTGTTTAATCTGTTTCCACCATTGGTGTGTCAAAAAAATGTTCTCTTTGTCTCCATGATATTTTTACAATATCTAAAGTCCAGTAGCTGTTACCTTTAGATTACATTGTGATGTAGTAACTACTAGATGATGTTCTTGGACATAATAGCTTAGGAGCTTTTTTAATATGTATTTGGAGTAAACAAGTGGAGCTTTCTACTTGACCAGTTGACAATTAGCAGTATATGTACTACTGTTGGTATCTGACCCAATTTGGCCTTTATGGTTACTCATAGTTGCCATGACAAAATTTGGACATTTACCAATCTTAATTCAATTCTGCTGTCATCACCCTTCTTCCAAGGGAGGGAAAAATCCTTAACTCCGCTTCCCTTGCAAATTATTGTCCCTACCCTCAATCTCCCTTTCCTCTCTAAGTTTATTCCATCTTCCTTGGAACTTCTTGTCTGAATTCTTTCAATCAGACTACTAACTTGGTCCCAGTACCAAACAAGCTGTGATTAGAATCATAACTGTGAGCAACGGTGTTAAACTTAGACACTGCTATATTCAACCCCTCTGCAGCACTTGTTTTAATTGACAACACCACCCTCTCTCACCACCTCCCCATTATCATTCAGCTGGTTGAGACTGCTGTCACCAGGTTCCACTTTGAAAGATCTAATCATAGCCAGAGGCTCACTTTGAATGGCTTCTATTCCTGCCCTTGCACTTTGCCTCTGGTAGCTGCATAGGCTCTCCTTGCTTTCCTCCTAGTTCTGGTTTACGGTATATCACCACCACCTCTCTCAACTCCCCCATTTTTGCTAATTTATCTTTTCACAATCCCGTACTTAGGGCAGCACGGTGCTCAGTGGTTAGCACTGCTGCCCCACAGCGCCAGGGACCTGGGTTCAATTCCAGCCTCTGTACTGTCTGTGTGGAGTTTGCACATTCTCCCCGTGTCTGCGTGGGTTTCCTCCGGGTGCTCCAGTTTCCTCCCACAGTCCAAAGATGTGCAGGTTAGGTGAATTGGCCATGCTAAATTGCCCATAGGGATGTGTAGATTAGGTGAGTTACAAGGGAATGAGTCTGGATGGGATGCTCTGAGGTTCGGTGTGGACTTGTTGGGCCAAAAGTCCTGTTTCTACACTGTAGGGATTCTAGGATGAGTAGAAATTTCTTTCAGTTAATGGTTACTTATCAACTCTACCTTCTTCTTAGCAACAGTCTTGAGATTACACCAGTCTGTTTGCAACCAAGACCACCTATCTCCACTTCCATAGTTGCCTGACATATCTGCAGAATCTTAAATTCCTGACTTTGCTGCTACCAGACTTGAATATTCCTGACGTATCTCTACATTCTCATCCCTGATTACGTGATCATGCAATCTTTCATGTCATCCAAAACTCTACTCCTCTTGTCTTTTACAGAGATTTATTACTGGCTGACCTACATTTGTCACCTGATGCAATGTCTTGAATTTACAATTTCATTCTTGTTCTCAACTGCCTCCATGACTTTACTTTCCTTATTTCTAATCTCATCCAGCCCTCACAACCCTCTGACACATCTGCACTTTGAATTCTGGCTTATTTGCATCCCAGATTTTGAGTGCATCATGATTGTTGTTCATGGTTCCAGTTGCCTAGCCTTCATGTTTGTTCTATACCTCTCAACATAAATTTCCTGTCTTAGGACACTCTTTAAAACTTGTGTCTTTGACCAAACATTTTACCATCTGACTTAATCATGTTCTGTGGCTTTGTGTCAGTAATCCTGTGAAGCACCTTGGGCCTTGTCTTCACTTAAAAACACCATTATGGACATATTATTCATTTTGCAAAATCTGAGCGCAAATCTGCATTTTGAGATGAATTATCATTAACTAATTACTGGGCAGGTTGTATTTTAGTCAAGAAATAATGAATGTTCCTATTTTCCCAATTACTCTCTTAAATTCCATGAGATCCAATTGGATTATTTTAGTGATTAATTGCTTACAATATGCTGCAAATAGAAACAATGTGAAAATATTGGTCAGAATTAAACTTCTACGTTGCCCTCCAAGTCTTCAATTTTCAGAGGCACTTTAATGAATTGGAATTTGCACAAGTAACTTTGAATTCATTTGAATTTGAATCCCCTCCCCCACCGCATCCCAAAACCAGCCCAGCTCGTCCCTGCCTCCCTAACCTGTCCTTCCTCCCACCTATCCCCTCCTCCCACCTCAAGCCCCACCCCTATCTCCTACCTACTAACCTCATCCTGCCCCCTTGTCCTGTCCGTCCTCCCTGGACTGACCTATCTCCTCCCTACCTCCCCACCTACACTCACCTTTACTGGCTCCATCCCCGCCTCTTTAATCTGTCTGTCTCCTCTCCACCTATCTTCTCCTCTATCCATCTTCTATCCGCCTTCCCATCTCTCCCTATTTATTTCAGAAACCCCTACCCCTCCCCCATTTCTGAAGAAGGGTCTAGGCCCGAAATGTCAGCCTTCCTGCTCCTATGATGCTGCTTGGCCTGCTGTGTTCATCCAGCTCTACACCTTGTTATCTTGAATTCAAGCTTGCTTTGTGTATTGCAGTTGAGACAAAAAGATAGGCAAGTTCATAGTACCTGCCATTATTTGATTTTTGGTTTTAGAAACACAATTTGTGGAAAGGAAGAGATGCATGCCATGATTTGTGAATTGTCATAAGTAGGTGGCCATTATTCTTGTAAAATTGAGAGCTCAGTGTCAAAAACAAAACTGCTTCATTTGCATTGTAATTGTACGTGAATCTCATTGGACATTTAGAGCTGATATTTTATAAGGGCACTGAAAATGATGGAATTCCTCTGTTTTGGTACATGGGACCTTGGAAAGTCTAGAAAGGAAACAACTGAAATGCCAGTCTCATTTCTGCATGCAGTAAGTCGGTTCCAGGAGGCTTCCTTTAAAAAAAAACCTATCTCTTTCTCCCAATCCAATCTTCCTTTCCTGCTTTCTATATCTTCCCTGTTTGCCCTATTTTGTTCTATCATTTGGTTTGTTTATGTTGTTTATGTTAATTGGTTAAGGAGTCGGTCAATTTAACCCAACGCTCATGAGTACCCAGATACACTGTTGACATTACCCTGCCACTATCAATTTGTATCCATTGCATTTTGTGGCAGAAAAATAACACTATCTGAAGGGTCAGTGAATAAATATTAAATTAAATTAAATTAAATTAAATTAAATTAATTGTGCTTTGTATGAGGTGTTCCATATGCAACTTCTGGGCTATTGAAATTAAATCTTTGATTTGATTATGTTTGGTGTTGAAGGATAGGTGTTAGCCAGGATAACCAACATTGTGTAAACAAATTTAGTATATACAGTTTATGGTTGTTTGCTGATTGCAGTGGAAAAAGATCATATATTGTAGCCAGAGATAGTAGGAACTGCAGATGCTGGAAAATCTGAGATAACAAGATGTAGAGCTGGATGAACACAGCAGGCCAAGCAGCATCATAGGATGCTGCTTGGCCTACTGTGTTCATCCAGCTCTACACCTTGTTATCTCAGATATTGTAGCCAACTGCTTGCAACCTGCTTAAGCTGAAAAGGCTGATCTTTTTTTAAAATAAAAACCAAGTGCTAGAGAAACTCCAAGTCTGGCCGCAGCTGTGGAGAGAGAAATAGTTAAAGTTTCAAGTCAGTTGTGACTATTCTTTGGAAATGAAAGGAGTTGGAAAATTATGGGTTTTATGGGTGACAGAGGAGTCTATAGGACAGAGTGAATGTGCCCAGGGCAAAGGACAAAGTGAATGATAATGTGGTAATGGAGAAATAGATATGTAAAATAAGTGTAAATGTTAGCTATGAAAAGGAGAAAATAGGCCTGTTCTGCTGACAGCAAAATGAACAAGATATGAAACAAGACACAGCTGGGAGAGGTGCAGCGGCGTGTGGGATGTAAGAAAAAAATGGAGTACAAGCATCATACTCTGACATTGTGGAACTCAACATTTGAGTCCCAGAGGCTGTGAAGTGCC